CTGTATCTGATGGATGTGAACCACACTGTGCAGGGCAGGAGGGGGACATGGGAGCGAATCCAAAGGAAGCCTCTTGATGTTGCTCACAAACCTGGTATGTGTCCTGGATGGTGTCTGCCTTCACATTCCTCTTCCGTCTCTTTTCCGTGAGAGGATAAACTGTTTTGAGCAGCACAAAAGACACTGTGGTCCTGTGGTGGGTCTGAAGAGACAGCCCAAGGAGAGATGTTTTCAGGTGTCCCATCCCAGTGGCAACTTCCCTGAAATGTGACTGAGTGATGGTGCAGACTGCCTCATCCACTCCAAAATTAATGAATGGTGAAGGAACACTGCAACCAGCAAAACAAATAGAGCACAGAAGGAAACCCAAGAAAACCTTAAATTTTGTTCAGTTTTTTTCCTCTTATTAATTGAACCATTCTTAGCACATAAATATGCATGCGCCCTTGCATTTAGAACTCATATTTATCTGTGGTTGTGACCATGGGTTTCCAAGAACACAGAAAAGCAACATGTACAATGGTACCAAACAATGTATGAGAAGCAACTCCCAAAAAAGAAGTCTCAGCACCAATATGGCCTAATTCCTTTGTTTCCTGTAAGAAATCTGTAAAAGTCAGTGATAGCTGGGAAGCTGATTGGATCTCATATGCCTTCAGGATAAACCTGAGGCCACTGATGACTTGATTGAATAGCCCCATCACTGTACATCAGTGGTATTTGGAGAATTTATTTTGCTTTTGCCTTTTAAGTCACTTAAGTGGCTTAAGCTGAGTTGTTTCTCTGATGCCCTCTGTAGACAGTGAGGAGCCTGAGAATCTTTGGAAAAGCTTCCAGCCCTGTCCTTCATTCTGGTTTTCTGCACATGCATCTAATGGCCTTATCCCCTGATAGAACAGATAGTTTGTGGATGAGCCTTGAAGTTATTTCCTGTTTAACTCTGGGAAACCTTTTGAGGGATAAGGAGATATGGAGAACACAAGAGTGAAGCTATTACATGTGTATATGTGATAATTTAAAAAATCCAGCTGTATAGTATATAAAATGTATTAAAAGTATATTAAAAGTGTAGAAAGTATATAAAGCAAAACTTCCTTCAGAAAGTTTAATGTTCCTTCTTCCCTTAATGAGAAGTGTCCACTTTGCCTTTTCTCTCAACTCTTCATTGAAAGCTCCCAAGCAAAAACCAGAAGCATGGCATTTCTCCTCATATGCACGAGAGCAGTGAGAGCCTCCCAGCCTGCTGAGAGAACCTAGGGTGCCTGGACTTGAGCCCTTACTTCAGCAGAAAAAAGGAGACCAAGAGGTTGAGGAATCTTATGGAGGTTGAGGAATCTTATCTTATCTTTACTCCATGTCATGGAGTAAATAAGAACTCAGCACTTAATCTGCACAGTGCTAAACATAAGGGAAGTTTTCTGTAGTTCACTGATGCATTCAGACTTTGAGGATGGGCAAAAATTTGGTCTAATAACCTTCAGAACAGAAGTATAGCAGCTATTTCAGGTTGAGACTATTACCCTGCTGTTGGTTTTGTATGGTGCAAACAAATAACCATGTCCTGAGAGAGGAACCATTGTATTTATTTTTGCTCTGAGAATCTTTAAACATGCGCTGTTTATTTATCTCTTAACCTGCAAGTGCATCTCTCCTTCCCAGCTAAAAATTTTCCATGTTACATTGTCATTTAGCACTTCCAACACTGTTGGTAATACAGGTAATATCTGTCTTCAACGGGATGAAAATTTGGTTTTACACCTCAGTCCCCTCTTAAATCTTTAATATTAACAAAATCAAAAAGTCTGTGCAGAATGCAAATGTATTTATGTTTTCTAAACATTCAAGATATCTCATGGCTACTTAAAAACCCAGCAGGAGAGCAAGAACCTTGTCAAGAAATAATAAAGCACCCATCTTGAATTAATTCTGATCTAATCAAATCTAATTTGATCTGATCTAATCTAATCTCATGTCTGTCCAAGCAGCAGGACTTTCTTATCTGCAGACATGATGCCCACACAATGGATTGGGAAGTCACTCCCTGCTTTAGACATGGGGATTTTAATAGCTGGGCTAGTTAGTCCTCAAGTTGATCTGGTTTCATGGGATTATGCCATGGAAAGGGAGGCAGATTGCTCTAGCACTGGTATGAAGTGTTTTCATCATGTCCAGAAGCAGCAGGTGTGGTTCTTTTAGGTGATCTGCTCCTCTACAGAGAGTGAGAGTAATTTTGACAGTAACAGCTAGTCTGGTCTAAGGAAAATAGCAAGGGGAGGCAATTTGTGTTACTAGCTCAAGTGATAGTTGGAAAAAAGGGATAAACTTTCAGAAACATCAAATTTTAAAAATTATTTCCTTTGAAGTCTATTATTTCCAGCTGTCTTAATTGCTGTAGTAAAAATCATTATTTACCCCTGGAGAGCTTTCCTTGCTGTTGTATTTTTCTGTGGTTTCTCAATTTCCTCATCTCTAAAGAGCTGACAAGTCCCTGAGAGATATGGCAAGTCACTTGGGGGACATGAGAGACCTGCAGGGACACCATCTTCATGCTGAAAGCAGGCAGGTTCTGGCTAAATACTGTGTGGACATCATGATGACTACCACACATATGCTGCAAAGCTGCAGGAGGCATCCAGAGGACCTGCATTTCCTACTCATCTTCCACTTTGCTATGGAAAAGCACAGAAAGGGGATTCTTTAGCCCAGATTTTACCTGACTCATAGCCAAGCATTTGTGTAAAGGCTCTGCTGAGCTGTTCTTTGTGAAGGCTGTTTGCTGACCCGAACCTGTGGAGTCCCGATCCTTCTGTGCAATAACGTAAGCGAGGATCTTCAGCACGTGCTGCAGTCTGTGCAGACGCCTTGTCTGCGTCCATCTGAGTCAGAAAACAGCGGCAGGGAAAATCCCTGGGACGGGAACTCGGTCATCTGTGCTGCTACCTGGTCCAAGCAGGCAGCAGCCCTCCCAGCAGGTTGCAGGCAGTGCTTGGGAGCCAGCACGGGCCATTCCCAGGGACCAGACCGGAGGCAGCTTTTGGACAAGGAGAGCAGCCGGTAGCATAGACACAGGCCATACTGTGCTGGCTGCCCTCAGTGGCCAAAAGCAGTCCCTGGCAGGTTGAATTTAAAGCTGTATAGGTGCAGGTTTAATTTAAATCTGTACGGGTACAGCTTTAAAACTGAAATGTCTTTGGGTGACAGTGGGATGGCAAATAGTGTCCTCGTGCCAAATATTGATGGGTGTTTAATATACACTTTGGGCACATGCTGTGACTGGGGAAGATTGCCTACTGATGTTGTGTGAGTGCTCCTGATTCCTGCAGTGCTGTGGTGCGGGATGAGCACGACAGAGGAGAATCACAAGTGTAAAGTGCTTTAAAGATCACACTCCAGCAACTCTTACCAGAAAAATACTCTTGATTTGAAGTGTGATTTTTTTAAACAGCAGTTCTATTCTACCAAAAGCCTTTTGTGGATGCAGTTACACTAAGGAAAAAGTAAAAGCAATGACCAGTATAGCTTCTGTAGTTTGGAACTAAGGAAAAAGTAAAAGCAATGACCAGTACAGCTTCTTTAGTTTGCGGTGTCCCTGCGAGCTGCACTGTCAGAAGCCTAGTGCTGTAGGCAGAAGCAGTTCCTCGGGTGGAGGGCACAGCCAATGTTACCTGGTCTTCTTTTCTTCTAGTGCAAATTTATCCACCCTTTGCGGCACTACTGAATTTTTGGTTATAGGCCATTTTTGCATCAAACCCCATGGGTAATTGTGAAGAGTTGTCTGTTCCCAAACTGGTGTCAATTCCAGTGACCCTTCCAGCCAGCAGCAGTGATGGGTATGGTCTGAGCACCTGGAGGTGTTGAGGACTGCCTCCTGCCTCTCCATACCTTATCTCATGACTATTGCCACTTGGCCCCTTGGTGCTATCCCTCTTCCCTGGTGGACAGGGTCAAATCCCTCACTAAGCCTATCCCAGGGGGTCAGTCACTCTGAGTTTGCATTGCAGCAAAATTACACTGCTTGATTTTTCACTCTAAACTCAGGAATAATAATTATTCTGAAATCAGCCTGGAGTGAAGACTGAAGTAAACCAAGTTTAGAATTCTTCCTAAAGAGAATTTAAGGCAGGCAGCTTAGAAGTCTCAATAAGATGCCTAACACTGAGTGGCCAAATCCCTCTTCTTCTCCAAGAAAATCCTGTGTGCTGTGGAAGAACTTCTGGAAATGCACTATATGTGGTATAAGAAAAGAAAAAGGCAGATCTGAAGTGACACAATGACTGACTGGTACCATATTCTATTCTGGATTGCGTAGGGTTTACTGTGCAAGGATCATCCATCTGCACACATGTACATTCCCTTGTGCTTCTGATATTAGCAGCAGAAATTCACATGCACACACATATTTCTGGTACAAAGCAATGGGGTTTAAGAGGAAAACTTGTCTGTGAACAAATTGGGCAGTGTTTGGATTGCACATTAACAGTGCTGTAGGGCCATCAGTAGATAGGTGGTCCCAGGAAGAAAAACATCACATCCATTATATTTCCTGTTGTTGAAAGGAGGAACTGATACCCCAGTGCCAACACACCACTGCCCCAAGCTGGCAAATGTCTCTGGTGTGCAGGAGATAGGGCACAGCAGGGAACTGCAATGCTGGCACTTAGTGGATTGCATGTCAGCCTCCTCTCAGTGGGTTCTGCAAGCCCATCAAGGGCACATATAGAAGAGAAGGATTTGCCACATACTGAGAGGTTGTAGGAGCAAAATGCAACTACATTAATGGTTTTTTACTCTGCAATAGAGGTGGTGTTTGAAGAGAGTCTCAGGAGCAAAGGGTAATGGGAACCATTACCTGTCCCATGTAAAGTATTCACCCTGCAGTATAACAAAAGTTTTCAGAGAAGACTAGTTGAAGTGATTTGGGTAGAATTCTTTTCTTCTACATGCTCTCTGTACAAGAAATGAAAGACTGGTCTGTGTTTGCTTTCAGGTCAGGACTCCACTATACCAGCAGACTGGCAGATTCCCAACAGAAAGAACTCCCCACCTGGAGAACCTGCGATCTGAAAGTCAGACAAGAATCTCTGAACTGAGACACAGGTCTGTACAACAGCCAGAAACAATGGGGTGCTTCTGCTTGGTGCTCCCTCAACAGACCTAATGAAGAAGTATAGATTGGGAATCTTATTGTTGCTTTTTGATGTAGTTTTGTGGAAATGCATCTCAGCAAAGCCCGGAGTTAAGAATGATAAGGGTGAGTGAAGGGAATTAATTAACCTGGTCGCACTTGTGTGGGATGCAAGGGTGGAATCTCAGTGATGAAAAGGTTACAAGCCCCAGGGTAGGTGATGACATGCCTGTTTTGGGGTGGTCTCAAAGATGGGCTGGGTCTGTTTCTAGCATTTAATGTGGCTTCAATGTATCCTTGAGCTGGGCGTGGTGAGGGACGATGGCTCTTGAATAAGAGCTATGGCCTTTGACATCCAATCCTCGCCACAAAACCTGTCAATGAAGCAGCAAATTAGAGAAGGCAAAGCTACACCCTAGTCCAAAGAAGGCTGCTTGGCTGCAAGCAGGTCATGCAGAGAGCTGAAGGAGCTGCACAAGCCTCTGCGTGGCAGGGCTGCTGCTTGCTCTCACTTTTCCTGGCCATAAACACCTAAGGTCTGATTCTTCTGGCTCTGCAGTCTGCATAGTCATTAACGCTGCTTTGAAGAGCTGGGTTAGTGGGTGTAAAATGCTACCATTTAGTAAGGCATCATTTTAACACCACTTCACAGCACTGCAAAATGAGAATCTAGGCTATGGGGCAGAGGAAAACCTGAGCCCCAAGTATTCACTTCATTAGAGAATCCTTTGCTGTGTGGATGGGAAATAACAAGGGTAATTCCATCTGCCCTGAAATTACACTGGCTGCCTGAGTTTGGTCTGATTTTAATAGAAGACCAGAGCAATAGAATATAAAAAGTATTAAATTAATATGCAGCGTTAGTGGATTTGGAGCAAGGGCTTAATTTTGTTTCCTATTTTGCTGCTTTTATGTGAAACTTCAAGCAACACCTTTTCTACTGCATTTGAAATAATTTCTATAAATATATAATAGATGCACGGACAAACACATGTGTATATAGGTAGTGTAAATACTTATTTGGAGATGATACTATTCTCAATATGTTTTCCAGGGAAATTCTATTTGAAAAAAAATATTTTGGCCTTTTATGTGGAGTCTCACACTCTGCATGTGTCTTGCCTATGGAAGGTAAGTATTTAATTTTTTTCTTTCTTAGTTTAGTTTGGGTGCTTTTTTTTTTTTTTTTTTAGATTTTCTTTGCCATAGGCCCTGAAAACAATAATAAAAAAATACTGTGGCAGTTGCTTCCTTGTGGCTTGCCAAAGGGGTGTTAAGAAATTTTTCTGGTTGTTCTGTATGTGTGAGCTGCAAAGAGGTGATAAATTGCTGAAGGAAATTAAAGCAGAGTGTGGGGGGTTTTGTAGCTCAAGTTTTGTACTCTTCTGATTCAGGCAGTCTGGATTGTAAACTGCTGGTTTTGTTAGAAATCAAGAGTTAAATTGTTCTAAACCCAGGGATGTTGCAAAGATAAATTAATAGATTAAAACATCATGCAGCCTCTGATGCTTCGTGTGCTTGGTTTAGTCAGGTGCTGGATAAAGAAACCACAGTACATCAGAGAGGAGTAGCTGAAGTGGTGGTTGTGATACTTTGGACAAGCAGTCATTTCTAATCCTGGCAATTCCCAGAGCAGGGCTCTGCCCTCGCCTTGCTGCCGTGGAGGCACCCAACCCACGTGCCCATCCCGTCAGATGCCAGCTCCTCCTGTGCCACTGCCTCACTGACAGCAAAGGAGGTTGGCTGTCAGCTCAAAATTTGTTTCTTGGATTCTTTCAGGGCCATTTAGCCACTGCTGCCTCTCAGTGAACGATGCTGTGAGTGGGGAAGTTGTGGCTGCCACTTGTGGCTGCTAGCTGGTCACAGCTCAGCTCTTTTGCTTTGCCCTACAATGGCCTGCACATGCCCACTCTTTGCAAAACAAAAATGTTTTTCATTTATGCATTCAGCTGTGGTGCTGGCATGAGTCCATGTGAAGAGGTTTTCTTTCCTTCCCTCCTTGCCCCAAGTTCAAGGTTGTTGCAGTTTTACCTTCTGCATCATCAGCTGAACACCAGTAATGCTGGCTCTTAGCTAGAGTTTGGGTCCAAACATTTTGCAATGTTCCATGAAGGAAGGGAAGTTTTATGGACTCTGGTTGCAGATGGGAACACCAAGGCACAGGGCTGTGGCAGGCTGCTGCATTATTCAGCAGCAGGCAAGGAAGCCTGGCCAGGCTGGATGATGGCTCAGAGCAGCATGCGGCTTCACTGCTAGCCAGGACCTTCAGCCACAGCTACCCCATCTTGCCTTAAACCTGCCAGAACTTGCTTCAGCCCCAGCTCTGACACTGAGAGCTGCCCACAGCTCTGTGGGGCTGCACAGGCTGCTGCTGTCCTGCTCTGCTGCTCTGGCTGGCTCCTTGGCCGCAGCAGCGCTAGGCTGAGGCCGGTATTTGCAGCCGCACTTCACACACCATCCCCTTTCTGCAAGCTGATTTTCTCCTTCCTCAGAGGCTGTAACTAGGGAGCTGATGAGATGTGAGTCAGCATCTGCTGCCTGATTTTGGGGTGAGAGCAGAAAGGCAGGGGCAGTAACACCTACAACACCCAGTGTGCCTCAGATGTCTGTAATTCCCAGAGGTCCAGCTTACACGTGTTTTCTTAGACGAGCTGCAATGGTAAGGACCCAAGAGGAGAGTGGGATGTACCTGTTGAGATCAGCTGCAAGAAGTGATGCACAGGGCAGGGGCTTCCCAGGCTGATAGACTGGAGCTGCAGTGTTGATGTCCCAAGTCTGCCACTTCCTTGTGACACTGTCACCGCTTGAAAGAACCATACTTTTTGTTCATTTGTAAGGCTGTGAAAATGCATACGTGCACAAACACATATCTGGGATGAGGCTGAAGAGAGATATCAGTGCTCAGGTTCCTACAGATGTGTGTGAGGTTCAGGCACTGCCTTACTTGTGTGCAGCCTGACATGGCGTATGGCAGCACTGCCCACCAAATGCTGCTGAACAAGGGGTCTCAGCCACTTTGGGCAAGCTTCAGCACATGCAAAAGGATGTATTAGCTGGCTGCAGAGAGGGTGCATGAAAGAGGAAAGGGATGAGTCTGTCCTTTGTCTCTTGTATGCCTTGGCCCCATGAAACACCCCACAGTGCTGCTGCCTGCTGAGGAGTGGGCTGAAGGCGCTGGGTACCAGACTGTGATGTCCAGCAGGTCAGGAATTGCCCATACAGAGTTTAGGCTCCAATGCAGAAGTAGGAATTTCCTCCTTTCCTCCAGAGAAAAGGAGTTAAAGGAAGAGGATCTTCCTTTAACCTGTTTGTTCCAAATAAATATTGCCATTTGACAAAGAAAGGCAATCCTTAAGGCAAGCTTGCAAAGCCCTTCAAAGCAGCAATGGCAAAACACTTAAACTGAAAGCAACAGTATGTTGCTCTCAAATTGCATCCTTGGCATTCACTTCTGAGCTATGGAGCCCTGTAAAACTTCAGCTGCTTGGAGGGAACCTGGTGGGACAGGGTGGGGATTTCTGTGAGCACAGATGGTGGCATACTGCTGCACCTGCTGCACTAGCGCTGGACACAATCATGGACAGTTTTCAAGGGTCTGGGAAGACATGTCCAGCTGTGAAACATGATAAAAAGAGAAGTGGAAAAACATGATCATGTCCAACTGGATGGTGTGGGTTGTTCAGTGAGAGTTGTAAGTACATGTGTAACCAGTCTATTGGCAAGCCAGAGCTTACATCTTGCCCACAATGTGATTTATCTTACAGTTTCAAGCAGTAAACCAATATAACCAAAATGATGTTGTTCCTTCACAGAAAGAAGGAAGGGAAGCTTTGTTTTCTCAATAATGTGTCAGGAATATTGCCCTCTGCCCCTGCACAATGCAGTGTAAACTTGCTTGTAATTTGTGCTGGAGGGGGGAAGTCAGCTCTCTGTCTGTGTTTCATTGTAAACTTACACTTAAAATCCTTTCCTGGCATTGATCCCAGCTTTGATATGCATTAGTAAACATTCATGACACCGACGTTAATCCAGAGTGAGCTTATAGTCATTTGTTTTATTAGAGACCAAAAACCAGTCACGAGGCCATGATTTGATAGTGTTATCTCAACACCTTGTGTAGAGATGCAAGGCTGACTTGGTGACATATCATCCTTGACACATGACACATAGAGACCATGCTTCAATCAACACGCCGTGCCTCTGGGCAGTGTGGTGTTACAGCCTCTGCAGGGGAATGCCACTGCCTGGAAACAGCCTCTCCTGCAACTAGTGGTGATGGCAGGGCTGCAGAGACTGGCAAGCAAGAAACCCAGCCTGCTACTCGAAAATCAAATCCACCAAAATGTAACAAGTCTCTTGCATGTTAATGATGTTTGATTATTTGCAGACATGTCTAAGCAAGAACCTGCTTTTCTTATATTTACTTATTCTGCAGATAAATTCAGCAGTAATTATCTTAGTAGCTCAGTTGGCCCTAGATTTAGCCATAAATGCATCATAATTTGTATAATTTTATTTAAATCCTGCCCTAAATAATTCTGTTTATTTAAATTCTAGTCATCCTTGAGCATGGTGTGCCCATGTGATGCACCTGAAAATATAGGATGGTCATGAGCAATGGGTTGCAAATGGAGTTGCATCACCAGTGGGGAGATGTGGTGGCCAATAAAATTTTTCAGGTATGAAAAGAAAATAAAGTATTATCATTTGTTTAGAAATGTAGCTGGGATGTTTTTTTCTTAAACAGTAACAGTCTGGTTTTGCTGTGAGCAGGATCTGGCCTTAGCTGTCCATGGGCAAATAAACAGCAGGCTGCATCGCTGCCCTACACTCAGGTCTCTCTTCCAAGAGGGAGAAGAGGTTCTGACAAACCTTTCCTGGTGGTAAGTGCAACTGGTTGTGATGTGACAGCTGGCAGAAAATACAGGTGAGAGTGCTTCTTTACACAAACCAGAGTTCACACCCAAGCCCCTTCTCAATCCTGTGTTTAGTGATGTGGATGTGCCTGCTGTATGAAGGAAGTGCTGACTTTTGGCTCTGCTAGTGGTAACGAAGGGTTACAGAAATGCTGAAACTCAAAAATACAAACATAAATACCAGGCCTCCAGCCCATCCACTGGGCATTTCTAATTGTCAGGTGAATGGATGAGAAGTGTTGTGATAAATGTCATGTATCTTTTGGGTTGTTACACAATGGTGATAAGGAAAAAGGCAAGACACAGAAAGGGGAAAGCTGAGGCTGCCTGTCTCTACTTGGGAAATAACAAGCCCTTCATTAAAAATGCCTTTTAAAATGTTATCTGGAATTTATAAGATGGCAGGGTTAGTCCTGAAAAGACTGAGTTTTGAAGCACCACTGGTGAATATTATGTTGCTGCCAGGGCTTTGCACACACTGACACTCAGGATCAGTGACAGACAGGCAAAAGCACAGGTAAAAGCTGGACAGATGAGAAAGTGCTCCCATGCTCAGCCTATGCCAGTTGCTGCTGTCAGAATGGCTTTCTGTCCTTGCAGGCAACTTGCAACTGGGCTTCAGCTCAGTGTTCCTGATATTTAATTGCCAAAATGAAAACCATATATGTTTGTAAATACTGGATTACTCAGAATGCCATTGCCAAGGGGCCGAAATACTAACATAAGGTGAGACTGATAGCAGTTTAATTTTCCAGGTTGCACACTGTGGTGGCAAAGGCTTGCATACAATTCCCATCTCTCCTAATGCCTCCATATACAGACCTACAACAATAAACCTCCTAAATAGTCCCAGAGGGACTTGCAGGAGCTAATAAGTCAAGGATTTACAGTGCTATATTCAGGCAATAGAGTTTGCAGAAACAGCATTGATCCTGCTAGGAGAATTATATTAGGACTTTGATCCTATCTCATTACTTACTTTCATAAGAAAACTTGCATACATGATGTTATTTTTCTACCTTTATGGCTATTCTCATATGGCCATTTCAAGGGAGGCTCTTCTAATGTCTCCTTTAATGTCTCTTGCCAACTCAGGGTGGCAAAAATGACCCCATGGCATGTCATTAGCTCTGGCCATAGCTTGATGTGTGTGTGTGCAGGCTTTGATTAGGTAGAGACTGCTCAATGACAACAATTTTGCAAGCACTGTGTACATGACGTGGGAGTTACTGTGGGTTATTGCTGAAATTTGCGGTGTCATGGGTAGTATGTAGGCATTCTTCAAAGCCTCATGTACTCAGGAAAGTTTCAATGGTTTAACTTAAAACAAGTTTCACACTGGGGAAAACTACAATACTTGGTTTCAGTTTAAATGAGATTTATTTTAATGTCAGCTCTTGGGGGAGAGCTATTTTTTCTTTTTGTACCAAAATAAGTGGAACTAAATGAAAGGTGTGTGCCTACAAGCAAGCTGGATGCCCTGGCACAGGTGTTGAGGCCCTAGATTTACATAGAGACATTGTTTTTCTTGAAAGCCTGTCAGTCAGTGTGGTCAGAGAGGAGTGCCAGACACATCCAGACACATTCTAACATCACAGTGTGAAGGAATTGTCTTCCGGAGCCAGAGCTAAGGCCACTGAGAAAGGAAGAGCCAAGAACAGAGCAGTTCCCTTAGCTGCATCTAATTCTGAGGATGTGCAAAAGACATAGGTCAAAGTCTTTGGACAGTCTTTGGTCAAAGACTCTGACTGTCTATTTCCAGCTTGGGCACCTTAAATTAAACCTTCTCCTTTTTGTGTCCAAACTGTCTTCCTTTTGCATAGCTCTCAGCCTTGAAGCTTTGACTCAGCAATACAATATTGCCAGGCTGCTGCTGCTATGGCAAGAATGAACCACACTAAAAGGATGGACACATTTGTCAGGAAAGCCTCAAGTCCTTCCCACATAGGTGATGGTTTATTCCCATGTCCAGTATTGTCTTAGCTGTAGTTTCAACACTTCCCACTTAAGAAGATAAATTATTGGATGTGCAAAACATCACACAGTGGCTTAAGGACTTCCACCCATTCAGATGTTTGTCCCTCTAAACTTTGACCTTGTGTTCAAGCCAGTGTTTCTGTAATATATACTTTAAAAATATATGGGTTAGCATCTTGCATATTTATTAATATTTTGAGAGTCATTCTACAGCATACACAATAATTACTTTTCAGTGAGGTCCTAGACACATGAAAGATTGCAGAAAAAGCAACACTTTTCACTGATGACAAGTTTTAAAAAAATAAAGCTTACTTATTACTTGAAGGAGAGAAAAGGCCACGAAACAGGTATTTTTACTTGGGAAAAGAGAAAATTTTTAGCTTTTAAATGTGCAGAGACACTAAATCAACTATCACAAATGTGTGCTGGTGATGCAGCCAACAACACTTAATTATCAGTTCTACAGGAAAATTAGGTGAGAAAATTACTTGTCTTTTTATATTTATTTTATTTATAAAAGAATCCAAAGACAATGACAATTCTCTCACTAAGCATGTTAGACAAAGATGGCTGGTCCGTCCTTTTCTTCTTCCTTGATGATACAGATTGATAAATCCCTGCAGTATACACAATTTAATTTGTGTTTCTCATTTTCTAAGTTGGGGTTTTTTTCTGCAATGTTGAAGGAAGCTGTTGAGGAAGAGATGAAGGAGGCTTATCTTTTATAGGGACTTAGATTAGAAATATTTGAGATACAGAGACAAGAACCCTATTTGGTCTCATACGTTGCCTTTCTTTGCAATGTGTGTGCCATTATTTTTGTGTGTTGATATTATTTGCTTCTTTCTTCCTCATAGATAATTTGGTTCAGTAAACAACACCTAGGCATGAAGATTGTGGTCATAATCACATGGCTTGATGTGTCCTCTGACATCCCAGCCTGATTATTTCTCCCCAGTATAGGAGCAGAAATCAGTGGCCACAGCTGGAGGGAACAGGAGGGCAGAGCCATGGATGGAATTCCAGCAATACCACACATCTGTTTTGTGGCCAAACATTTTGTATCATGAAATCACAGCCCTATGGAGCATGGAAAAACAGGAGATGCTTAATATTTTCAGGACTAGTACTAAATTTTATTAATTATTTGATTTGGACTATGCCAACCCTGGAGCACACAAGAAAAGTTCCACGCTTTGAAGATGTCTTAATATGTGATTAACTTTGTGTTGCAGATCAGGCCTTAATTCCTTCATGCCTGGGTGTGTAGCAAAGCAGGAGTCTGCACAGATACAGAGTCTGTGTTTGGTCTATGATCAGTCCCATGTGGATGTCCCCTCTTCTCAGATGGATGGAGGTCACCTAAAACCCACTGAAAGCTTTTGTGCTAGCAAGACTGGCTTTCTCCCTGAGGAACTCTAGAGGACAGGATTTACTCTATTTTGTGATTAAAAAGGTGACTTAGATGGCAATGGAAGAATCATCTCAACCTGAAAAGGTACTGAGGCAGTTGGGGATGAATGATTCCATGGCTGTTTTTTTTCTCCCAACAGCAAAGTGGACCGAAGCAGCACTTTCTTCCCTTCTGGCTGCTTTGTCCTGCCCTGCAGCAGCTCCTAGTTATGACTGAGCATGTCTTTCATCACCCAGGAGTTCATTGCCTCTAAGAGTAATCTTTACCTTGCTTTTGCTTTGTTATTTTTAAGCTGAACTTGTTTCTCCATTCACAAGTGGATGCTTCTTTCCAAAGCCTTTTTTAGAGGCACTGAGTTGATTGTTGTTTTATTGCTGCATTCCATTTGTCTTCAGCTGGCAGATTTCTTCCACCTTGGACCTACTAACCATAAGAAAGGTAATTATGTATAGATCATGTATAGGTGATAAGCAAAGTCTGCTATTGTGTAAATTCCTTTTTACTGGAAAATCAGTAAGAAACTTGAAAATTCTAGCCATCTGTATCACTTTCTGAGATGCAGTAAGGCATAGCAAGGTAATCTGTAGATTAAAAAGCCAAGGAGTTGACTGACTTTAAAATTACAGTTACAATAATCTGTGTTAAAAGTGGTCTATGATGGTGATCCCTTCCCTTGGCCTGTTGAATGCAAGTGTATCTCAGGATATGAATTCTTCTCAAGGTGAGTTAAGGGAAGGCAGAAAAGCAGGAAGGCAAATAATTTTCTCAACATTAAGGTAAGAAATAAATCATCAGGAACTAAACTGATTTGGATTTTGTCTCTGGTGCCCATCTGTCACCAGGACCCAGTGTAGCTGCTACATATGAATATGGCAAGAGAAATTCTGGCTCAAAAAAATCTTACCATGCATGTATGATGGAAGATGAAAGAAAAGAGTGATCTTGAGAGGGGACAGTTACCTATGTCTCAGTATTCAGCAAGTTTCCATCAAGTATATCATCCTACACCAGCAGCAACTGCCTGTTCACCAGGGGGAAGGGGAGAGTGCCCCTGGGAGAGTGTGGCATTTCAAGGCAAAAAGATCATAGGCAGTGTCCTTTCAGCAGTGGGTTTAGCTTTCCCTTGAGTTAAATAGGAATAGGTAGTGATCACATATTTTCCTGATCATTGTTTAATAACCATGCAAGCAAGGGTCTAGTTGGCTGTTGGCATCGCTACCAGTTCTGGTTATAGTGTGCCCAGCCAATTTCTATATTTTCTAGGAGGGTACATGCCATTGGAGCCAAGGAAAACATGTTCTCCTGAGATACAGGTCTAGCAGTGTCTAATAAAAGGCCTGATGAATAAAAATTTCTGCAAGGTTTATTTTCCCCTGGGAAATTAAGCATTGTATACCATAATGTGCCTGGCATATGGCTGTCTATGCATGGGAGCACTGGATCCAATCCCTGACTCAGCAAAGTACTGCAAGCAGTGTTTGGTTGCTAAAGACAGGACTTGGGCACAGGTCTAAAGCTGGGCACATACTCAGCCAAATAAAATTCATTTCACTTGTGCACAGAAAAGGTAAAACACTGACATTTGTATTGTGACACAAAGCTAATTTTTTTCTTACGTAAGTAGTGGATCAAAAAATGGTAGTGAGCCTGTTTTCCAGATTAATTCAATTTATTTTAGATGTGTGTTACTTTGTCTCTTCACCTTGCAGATATTATTTGCAGAGAGACAAGGTATGCAAAAATTGATTTACAAGACCAAGTGCACAATCCACATAGTGAAATAGGTCTTCTGGCTGTTATCTTTATTATTTGTATTGTATCACCCTGTTCTGACTGCAGGAGACAATAGCCATATAGTTTGCAGTGGATAGTTAATGAACTGACAAACAATCAGCCAGATTTCTTTTCTTGGCTAATCATTTACAGATTTGTTAATGCTCTAATGTCAAAGTGTTTCTATCCTGGTATGTCTCACTGTCTAGGACAGAACGGTGCTCCTTCTGCCTACCACCATGTAAATGTTCAATTCTTCTTTTTAATGCTAATGGTAGGTTCCAGAGAACCCTACAACAACATTTTAACTCTTAAAAATCTAGTCTCCTTGATGGTTTTAGGCTATTTGCTTCTTAATTACTTTGCAAATTTCTTTGCTCTTGCATTTAAAAAAAAATATCTGGGATGTCATTTTTTTTCTAACCGGTACTACTTTGAAACCAGAGAAGTGCTTGTGGGTGTCATTCTATGCTTTCAGACATCACCACCTTTCTTTTGGAGGTTTAGAAATTGGTATGCAAATACCCAACACCCTTTTGCATCAACCTCATTAGAGCCAATAAACATTTCACTTTAAACATCAATGTTCCCAAATGGGAGGGTTGAAAATCCAGCCTGTTTATCTCTTTTCAAACAGGTGACTCCTTATTACCCTCTGAAAAACTGGAATACAAAGCAGTCTCTCATCTGTAGCTGTTACAGCCTGTGATGCAGTGCAGTCAGGGTTTATTTTCTCTCTTCCTTTGGTGGCCACTTAGCCATCAAATTCACACACACACTCTTAAATATTCATGCAATCACACTAGTGTCTTAATATTTGCACTAATTCCATTTCTCTCCACTTTACGTTCAGCACAGAAAATTCTTCAGACCCTTCACAGTGAATGTGGGGGACAAAGCAGCAGTGGCAGCTGGACAGACACCCCATCCATGCCCAGCTCCACTGCAGCTGAGTCACCAGCAGGAGCTGTTACAGGGTGCTTGTGGGCAGGAAAACGCGGGTGCAGTGGGGCTGAATGAAGAACACACCACAAGGAAGAGCAAAGGCATATGGTGCTAGAACTGAAACAGAAAATTGAGAGTTTGTGCTAAGCTTAAAAAGCAAAAATTTCTCTCTGCATCCAAGAAAGAAACATGGCTTGGTGGGTCGAGCAGGAAGCAGTCAGGACAAAGGTGCTATTTCTGACTTTTTTTACTGGCTGTGGTGAGACTTTTTTGATAGCCCCATTTCCTATCTTTAACATGAGGGTTTTACTTGCTAAAATGGCAAGAACCAGTGGCTCTGCAGGAGATTTGGCTGACAGGCATAGAAAACTGCTAGGGATCTCTTCTGTAACTCATTACAGATTGTAACTACACTTCTTCAAAGTCTCTCAAATAAAGAATTAAATGCCTGAATTAAAAAAAAAAAGTATCAAATTTGAAGTTCATTTTTAATATGACAGCCTTTGAAAACATTGGGACCTACCCCAGCATTTGTTGCTCTTCCAGAATTCCTTTTCCTGCCAAAATAACATATGCAAGAAGTGTAAGTAGGAAGGAGAGGGGAGACTGTGCCCCTTCTCCTCCCTCACACTTGAAGCCAACAGCTGAGATTCAAATGCAAATGCCAGTATTCTCTAACTCTCCAGGAACTTTTGAGTCTTGGTGTCTTACACCTATGTGACAACTTAGGCTAAATTAAAAATCAAAGAGATTTCCCCTGGAGTAAGGTACTGCTTGTTATGAGTGAGGATATCATAATTGGGGCTGCCAGGAGGTTTATGAACTCCACTTGCTGAAGGAGGCTTTGGGACTCTGAAGCACCGAAGTCTGTATTTTCTGTCTGGAGTCATCCCAGCTGCTGCCCTCCCCAAGCCAGATGTGTAAAACCAACAAACATGCTGCAGATCCCATTTAAATGCTAATAATGTGTCTCTCTTCTCTGTGAACTTGGTAGATCAGGGGGATGAGCTTGTGCCCCTGCTCTCATCCTGCTGCTGTGGTGGCTCCTAGGTAAAAGGAGAGGCAGGTCCTGGGTGCAGGTGCCCTTTGCAGGGGTGCTGTGCAGTCTCCTCGTAATGTCTGCTCTGACTGGAGCTGCCGGTGTTGACAGGTCGAGGTCTCTGCTGTAGCTGCCAGTCTGTGCACTTCAAAGCTTTGATTTTCCCCTGTTTTATCCCAATGTCCCCTAAGCACGTGCCCACCCATTGTAGTGAAGTGGTGAAGAGGGGGAAAACATACATTAGGTAGCTTTCTTTAGCAAATATTGGATGGGACATTCAAAGTCAGTAACTTGAAACACAGAGGGGGTTTAATGGCAGTGGAATTTTTTTCTTTGATCTCTTTCTATCTGCTCTTCATCTTTATCTTTCCTCAGTACCTTAAATGACAGGCTCTTCTGGAAGAATACATCATAGCTGAGGATCACCTTCAGGTTTTTTGCTGTATGTGAAATTTCAGAATCAATTTTAAACCTTAATTAGGGCATAGAAAATGTACTGTACCTCTGTTGGTTTGATTTAGTAATAGGAATCATGTTTGCATGCAACAGACAGAGGAGGGAGAAAGGAAAAAAAACTGATGCCATTTGAAAGGAGAGTAGCCTTGAAAACTTGATGGGAGAAACTCCAGCAAGTTTGCTAACTTCTGTGAAGCTGTAAAAGTTCAGCTCCACTTGGCCTGTGATGCATTGGTATTTCTTCATTACAAAGTGAGGTGGTTGAGGTGGTTGCAGTTCTCTGTGCAGACAGAATGTTTCTTCCAGGTTTCACAATCTTTTAAAATCTACCATTTGACAGAGAAATGGTAATTTTAAGTATAGAGAAAAATTGGGGTTTGAGTTTTTTTCATTTTTCAGGACTCTACAGAAGGAATAAACCTCCAAAGAAGGTTCTAGAGATCAGAGAGATCTAGGACCACTAGATTAATTTGCAAAAACAGAAATGTCATTCTGTATATGATATTTCGCAAGCAGAATTTGTTGTGTGTGGCTTTCTCCAGTTGTAGTCAGTGGGAAAACTTCTGTGGAATCATTTTGCTGTTGACTAACACTGCAATATATTTTTGATAGCAAACAAGTGTCAAGTGCCGGCATTTTGCAGCTGGCATCACTTTCGCCCGGTGCAAAGGACACTAAAGAAGACAGTACACAGAGAATCCAGCCTGTGGACGCTGAAGATCAGCAAGTATAGCCATTACATCTCATTGGAGGTGTTTAGCCCTGGGCCATGTTAAGGGCTGACACAGTCACATGATTTAGGAGAGTCAAACCTCAAGTAGAAAACTTTTATATAGGGGGTGTGTGTATACATCAGTGGATCAGTCCAAACATCCATCTGTCCTCTCCCTGCAGTGGTACCTATGCCACACTTTAATCAAGGAATGCTTCCCGGGCTTCCTGCATCACATGAATGTGCTTGGCAGCACCATCTTGGGTGTGTTTTACCTGGGCTGTTCCAGGCCCTTTCCCATCTCCCCAGCAGCTTTTTTCATTGTATTATCACTATATTTGCAATTATCACAGTAATCCCTTGTCTTTCTGCAAGTAAACAGTGAGGCAAATGAGTTTTTTTATAAAATGTGAAGTATTTGACCGTAAATAAATTTTTCTTCCACTGTCAAATCTTGTGCCTACTTCTTTTCCATCTTCTGTCAAGCTCTCTGCAGTTACAACTGCAGCACCTCCTCGTTGTTACTCATACAGAAATGCCAGTGAGGGAAGGCTCCATGTACAAACACACACATGCATATCCTTTTTTTTCCACATGGTGAGTTCTGTATTAGCAACAGGTTCCAGATTTTTATCTACCACTTCTAAAGTAATTGGAGGAGTTGTATGTCATAAAGAGAGAAAGGAGTTGTATGTTTTAAAGAGAGAAAGCAAGTTCTAGAAATGTGTGCTCTGTGCAGGAGAAATTATTCTCAGTCTATGCTGCAGGGTTTATTTTTCAGATCTCACTGGAAAACGATATTGATTCTGGGATTGTCTTATTCCATGAGAACCTCTTCATTTAAAAGGACACCATAGATTGCTTGTTAATTCCCTGGCTGAAATTTAAGTAAGCAGAGGCTAATGTCTTTTTACTGCTTTAATTAACAACGATTACTTGTCTAGAGATAAGGTATTTCTAGTCAAAAGCCATCTCCTTCAACTCCAGATCAGCTGAGAATAGTTCAAATTAGTTTTAGGGTAGGGTCAAAGACCAGAATTTTAGGGGTTTGAAGTTTTTTAACTGAGCAGATCAACACATATCTGCTGTATCTGCGGGAGAATATACATCCAAGTGCAAAGGGGGAGGCTGGGATTTCCATCTGCATGGAAGTGGATTGTTTGGGGGCTTTAAACAAATGAGTTAATGAGGTGGCACTGAAGCACACCTCTGTCCTCTCTGGGAGATCTGAAGTCCAGCACATGGTCCACTGGCAGCTCGACTCAGAGGGGACTGTCTGGGCCAATCAAACCTCCAGTGGGCAGCACCACTGGGGGAGGACTCATTTGAAACAACAACAAAAAAAAAAAAAAAAAAAAAAAAAAAAAAAAAAAAAAAAACCTAAAAATGTAAATCCTCCCTCTGACTGGAATTTTTTTGTTGTTGTGAGCAGAAGCCAGCTCCCAAGGCACCCCTCCATCCCCAGGACACAGTGAGTGAAAAAGGCCCAATGGCATTGGACTGCAGCCTGCACTGGCTGAGGGCCTCCCATCAGGAAAGGCAGCCTTGCTTGTCATCAGGGCAGCTGAGCTACACACGGCCAGGGATGGTTTGGATGGATGAAGACTGTATAGCTCCGGGCTTCAGCTGTATCAGCAAGCTCTCAAGCTGCCTGAACTTCTGTAAAAACGAAATCCTGTGGCTCTGTTTGTGACTCTCCTTGCTTCACAGGGAAAGGAAACAGGAACCTTGGCTTCCCAAGATACTACACAGCCTTCACACCCTGCTCTGGTGTTGATCTCAAGGCTCAGGCTCCACAAATCTTTGCACCTCCTGCAACAGATGTTTCTGGAAATGTTCCTTCAAGAGGTGATCTTGAACGCAAGGCGAAGTTCCTACTGAACTGTAGAGCTATGAACCAAGCAGAGCAGGGACAAGGACCATGACTCTTCTACCCCTTGCTTGTGCTAATTCTGGTTTATTGGCTTGCAAAGAGTCCAAAGGGATGGCTGAGAGCTTGCCCTGCTTTTTTGTAAGGATTTAGGTCCAGAGCTTTGAAAGTCATGAGGCACCCAGCTTCTGTCAACTTAGGACTTGCATAAAATAGTTTTTGAAGTTTGGTGCTGGATAACTTTGTGGATTTGCATGCTCTGTTATTTATACTGCTCTCCCCCCATTCTCCTTAGTAGCCCTGCTCATGGTGTGTTTGCTGCCTCATGGGTCAGGAAAGAGGCTCTGCTATGATTACAGCCCTCTTGTGTTGCCAAGGACAGGGCTTGCATGACCACAGGCCCCTTTCTGTGTCTTGCAGAGGTGAGAGGGGTGCACAGGTGGGTATTGGTAAACTAAGGTCTTTAATGGACCATCCAGAATTTCTGCTGGCCAGCCACTAGTCTCTAAAATAGTCCTTGTTTAAGGGAGGAAAAAAAAATTCTGTTTCATTCACCCCTGGTGAAAGGATGAGTAGTTCACTCTCAGCTGTTGAGTCCAGCAAACACAACCACATGAGAGCACAGATTCTGAATTTTTCAATGCAGCATCTTTGTCATGACCATTGTGAATTGTCTGAGCCCATCATCCTGAAACCCATCCTTCAGTGTGGCTGTGCTTTGTCTGGGTATGTGTGGCCCCAAGGAGCCAGTCTGGGAGTCAACCATCTAAGGACCTCATAATAATTTGTAGATATTTCTTTTTACACTGGAAGAGCTAGAGAAAATGGCACCCCAGAAGTTTCCTGGCCTTTTGTCCGCCTCTACTTAGAAAAACATCTACAAACTTTTTGCCTCCTTTCCTCCCAGTCGTATTAGACAAAGCCACAGTCAAGTAACCACGAGCAAAAGGGGCAGGGTACACTTATGTGGCCACTTCTTCCCCTCATCACAAGCTCAGTCTGTGGAGCAATCTCAGATTGAATTTACTCCCTGAATGCAAACCCTCGGGGTTGTGCTGAGGATGCTGGAGATGCAGTGACCCGTTTTCGTGTACATATCTGAATTTGTGGACAGGACATTCAACACATTCCTACGGCAAAAGGAGAGGAGCCCCTTTTCCATCTCTAGTTTCAAATTTGGCTTGACCATTGTGTGATGAAAGCCGGGCCCTGGGCAGGGAAGCGAATACTCTAACAAGTGGCTTGTTAGTGAGGAATGTCCTGCAGTAAGTACGGAGCAGCCTTGTCACTTCTCAGCCAATCCTCCGAGGACAATAAGGAAGGAGGACAAAATGAGTGCAGCCCTCCTGGGCCTCCCCTTAAGAGTTTAAAAGCAAAATATTGATTTTGAGTTACCCTGCTTCAACTCAGCTTCACTCTCCTGATATTTTTATTCCCTTGTAGGTTTCTGACTCCATTCGTTTTTTAAACAAATCACTGGTGAAATTGTGGTGTGTCCATGTATCATTCCTGCACCTAAAAATATGGTCAATTGACACCTTGAAGGTTTCCAGGCAACTCTAACCATTTGTGACATCTTTAGCTGCATCTCCAGTATGTTCAAAACAGATGAAGTGAACGAATTGATTTTAGCTGCATAAAACCCTTGACAAAAATCTCTTTGTGGCCATCCAGTTAGTCTCTTGATGATTTGTAGAGTATTTGCTTATGCCATGAACTTGATCCTTCCCACCACTCTGCTTGTTTTTCAGCTAGCTCTGCCGTGGGTTCCCTGCTTCTGAATGCACTGCAGCTCTACCCCAGAGCTGGGGTAAGAGCCAGTTAAACAATGCTGGACCTACAGCCCACTATGTCATCAGCTGAGCACTGGATATGCCAAATGTACCAGATGAACTGCATGCAATGGTGGCAACCTTGTTAGGTGATTTAAATTGTTTTCAGACCCAAACTGCCTAATAAAATCAGCAGATTTGTGTAACTTGATTCAAAATCCAGCAAAGCCAAAATGATTTTTCAACTTGCTTAAGGAGATAGTGGATAGAACAACACAGCAAAAATATTTTCCTTTGTCCCCAGAAAAAAAAAAAAAATTAACATTTGCATGTGATGAAACATGCAGTAGGCCAGGAATAAATTAACTGCAGAATCTCAGCTCCTTTAATCAAATAATTTGACATTTATGTGTGTGGTCAAAAGGAAATTCTTTTGAAGACATATGGTCTTTTCATTGTATGCTATTTTGGATCAAGTTCCATTGTATTAACAAACATACAGATAAATCGTTGATGGGCTTAATTGCTTTGGGTTTTTAAAGGTGCCTCCAACCCTGAGGATTCAGGCTTCTCCAAGTACAATGCACGGTAACCACCCATGATAAGTAACAACACACAATAATTGCGGTACTTAACATTTATTGTCTCAGATCCCCCTGACAAAAATGAAGAACATCAGAGGCAGGAACTGGAAACACTGTTGGATGGGCTGGAGTGCTGATAATAACGCATCTTTCAAGAAGTGTAAGATATTACTGATTAACTACAGAAAGACTTATATGAGTTCAAGAAAACCAGCGATTACTTCTTTTGGCAGTAAGAGTGTGCAGTGAAGTGTGAGCAGGACACCGAGGTCTGGCTTTGGCAAAGCACTGAGTACCTGCAGTAGAATTGTACCCTTACCTGGTGCCTTTGGCTGGCTAAACTGGTGATTACCTCTGAGTGCCTCTAAGCTCCCTTCTATGCAACACAAGCTGTAGGATTTGTTAGTCAGTCCTGCATAAAGCACGGTCTTTCTGCTTGAGCAGGAGCATTTTCTAAAGTTAAACATCAGATCTGGAGGAAGAGTGACAAAGTGCCTCGTAAGCTGATCTTCTAATGTTAAAATAAGTTTGGTTTTTTTTTTTTACATCAACAAAGCTACTTCTCTAAAATATGTTTAATCAGAGGAGTTGAGGTGATGCAACTGTGCTGGTCTCTGCCATCAACAGGAAGATGTCCTGTTTCCTTCTGCTCATCCCTTCTCCTTCTCCACCTGCCCAGTCTGCTCCTCAGACCCTGCTGTGACTCAACTCAGCAAAATGTTAACACAGAGTAAATCACGATTTTCATGTGAATGGCCACAGGAAAATCATATTGAGGATTCTTCATCAGCTGAGTGAATTGAAGGGCCACACGAGCAACCGGGAGTTCAGTGTGGGAAGGAGTCTTTGAGACAAAAACAGGGACATGGAGAAGTGGAGTGTAAGAGGAATGAGGTCATCACTTGAGGCAGAAATTCATCAACTTCAGCTCTTTTGGGGCTTCATTTTTGGGGGAAAAAAGGCTACTTGCATAATGTACAGAAACATGCTCAACTTATGTGTTCTAGAGGTAGTGATACCACTATGAAAACGCTACATCCTCTCCCACTGTCCATGATATCCATAGTTCTGTTTCCTGATTGAATGAAAGTAAGCAAGACTTGGGCTCTGTGCACTGCAGGTGTGCAGCTGTTGGCTAAGATCCAGCATGAGTGAGAGCTGCTGGAGTCTTTGCTGTGCCCACAGTGACACTACAGTGTTCTCCTGCATTGTGGCTGTCCCATGGC